GCATACCCCTTGGAAATTACTATACTCTCATGGGTATGAAGGTCTGATATAAACACTGTATCTACCTACACAATTTAAACGAACCGAAAGACGAATGTATAGTAAGGACCAAAATACACAAGACAACGACGCACAAGAATTGCCTACGTATGACGCCGTCTCGCTTTGAATTCATTAGAATATTATTATTTTGGCGAATTGTTTAATATACGTTATCATTTATCAATTTGAAACAATGCAGTATACTGTAGGTTATATAAATCTGATCACGTGGGAAGTCTCTATAAATCAATTGATTTATCTTACTGATTTGTTATATGCAAATAATTAAAAATGCAAAAAAAAATAATCAAGACGATCCGTTCGTTGCACTGGATAGTACCATATAATAGGTACCTACACTATATTTCAATACCATTGCCAATATTATGTATTCAATGAAAATATTTTAAATGTTTTCACAAAAATAATTATCGGAGCAAATTATCGAAACCTGCAGTCTATAATCAAAAGTAATAAAGATAACTACTATTGTAGTTTAAGTAGTACAAAATATTTAAAGATTAACTTAAAATAAACATATGGCTATAGCATGTGGAATAAATAATAAGTTAATAAGTTAATTTTAAAAAGAGTAAACAGAAAAAAATTATCTAATTATTTTTGTCTTAAAATAAGAATAGTTGAAAAAAAGAAATTTGGATTTATAAGAGTATGATTTATTTTCAAAAATCAATAGGTACATTATAAAATAAATCATATGAAATAATAGTTCATTACATCATGCATAGATACAATAATAACCATATTTGTATTAAATTCCGAAAAAAAATTCTAAATTTAAAAAGAAAATAAATGATATATACACACGGATATTGTACATTGAATGTGAAAAACATATGTGGGTACCTATAAAAGAATGTATTTAAGTAAAACGTATATGATATTCTAGAGCGTTTAAGAAATTTCAATTCGATTTTGATTATGGACTGCAGATTTCGACAAATTGCCCAGATTATTATTTTTGTGAAAAACGTTTAAAATATAACCATTGAAGATATTATTACAATACAGTCAAAAGTATTGTTCATGTGTGTGCACGTATTATACGTAAAGGTATTATATAGATCAGGAGGTGATATTTTCGATTTTCGGTGTGTTTTGAACAGATTATTACGTGAGTAATTGTGTTGTCCACGTCAGTGCTCTAGGTCAGGAGCGTCGTCGTCGTTTACAGCTTTTGAACGCCACGCCGCGAGTTCGCGGAAGAAACTGACTTTTCAGTAGTTATGTGGCGGCCGGCCGAATCACACGCCGCGTGGTTCGCGTGCTGTTTGCTCGTCGGCTTTTTACGGGCCAAAGTTCTCGCGGTCGATTCAACAGGTATGTATCTCGTGCCGTGTATTATTGTTATTATTATCATAGTTACACAGGAGACGTTTGATTTTAACAAAATAACGAATATAAACAATAATATTGAAATACTATAGATACTGAACAAATAAATCAAACGATTCCTGTTATTTAGAATTTTTTTTTTCTTAGGCGAGAAAAAAAATATAGGTAGTCAGACGAGAACACAGAAAATAGAAAATATATTACAAAAGATATTATAGACAATTTCTTATTATTCGATAACGTTAGGAATTATTGTGAGTTTAAAATGCTAAATCGAATTGTATTTAGTAATTAAAGTGAATTGGTTAATGTTTTGGTAATAACGGGTAATAACGTGCTAGGGGTAAAATAATTGCTGTAGATTTTTGGATTCAGATTTTTAGAGATCAGTGAGAAAAGTATTGATTTTAATATGATATGTGTGATTTTTTTATCTGTCTGTTCTATCAAAATACCAAAAATATTGTTCCAGTCAAAAAATTACAAAAGACTTTCTGCATCAATTAAGAAATGTTTAGTTTTCGTAATAATTAGAAAAAAACGTATGAAGAAAACGGAATTAATTACAGCGTCAACGATTTCATTATTTCAATAAATGTTGGAAATCGTTTTTCAGCAAAAATCTTGCTTCAAATTTTAATAGAAATGTATTTTTAAAATTACAATTTGTTTAATTGATGAATAAAAATGTAATTTTTGGATTTTTTAAGTATTTTTCTAATAAATCACGAAAGCCAGAAAAAAAAAATTATAAAGTAATTACGTCGAAAAATTTAACAAAAAGGTTATTTTAAGTTGTATTCCTGTTAAAAAAAAATTGGGAGTGATTTAGTAATTTTAGGTTCTGAGTGTATCGAAGATTGAATTGGTTTTACTAATAACTTATTTATTTTATCCTGAGTACAAAAATTCTACAAGTAATCTTGTTCAGTTTTTTTCGTGTGGCACCATTTCTGAAAAGGAATATTGTCCAGATGGTACCTTTAGGAGGATATTTTTTGATTTTCATAATATTTGGGAAAAACCAGGATAAAACGTAAGAAAAACAGGAAATGTACGAAAATAATGCTTTTATTATTTTTTAATTTTGTTAATTGTTGTAGTTTAATTAAAAATATTCGTATAGACTTGAAAGTTGGACAGAAAATTAATATTTGTCTTTACTAGACGTGGTAAATTTTTAAAAAAAATTAGGCCATTTTTGAGCTATTTATAGACATTTTAATTTTGCGAGTTTTGTACGTAATTTTTATTCGGTAGGTACTCCGTGGTAAAATAGTTAAACTTATCAAAAATGCTTGAATACTTTAGAGGAGATTCATTAAGAGTCTTACCCTGTGGTCAAAAAAAAAAAAAAAAATGAGAATATAATGTAGTATTTTTTTTTAATAAAGAAATTTTAATATCAAATTTAATAAATAGTTTAAATAATTTCAATAAGTAGTATCAACTCTTTTAAAAAAAAATCACAATTCGCGTTAATTTTTTTAAATAGGCAAAGCTGGACGTTAATGATTTAATAATATATTATCAGTTTAGACATAAGTAATGTTAATGTTAATTTTTAAATTTGCTTTACAATATTCATTTTTTCAATTAAATTAACTTGTAACTTGATTTTTTTTTTCATTAAGGTACGAGTTAAATTCAAATTAAATCACGTTAAATTAATCTTAATTTCTATTGCAATCTCTGTACAAATAATGTTGTTGTTTTTTTTTACTTAATTAATGTGTGCATAGTTTAAATAGAATAGTGTTATAATATGATATTTCCATATAAATACCATTGTGTTTGACATTGAGCGTAATTATTAAAATAACATTACAAACCCCAGGTTTTTAATTATAATTATGTACCTAGTACGTTATTTAAAAAAATATTCTACATACATTGAGTTTTAAAGTTAATTCAATTTTCAAAAGGAAAGTTTAGTTTAACTAAATGTATTTAATTTGAATGGTTTACTATAATTTCCAAATCAAAAAGAGCTATCCTAGTATTTTGGGAATGGGTGAAGCCACTAACTGTTATAAGTAATTTGATGTATACCTGCAAGCAACGATATACCAATGCTAACGAAAAAACGATTCCGAGCGGAGTTCAGTTGATATTAATGCTTTGTCGAATTTTATTTATTTTATTTTATGATAAATAATTAAAGGCATTATATATTTTCTTTAATAATATTTATGAAATGTACTGATTTACTGTATTTCCTTGTTTTCCTCAGTTTTTTTTCGGTTTTTTAAATTTGATGAGAAAACCGTTTGAAAATATCGAAAAATGACCTCACTAAAGTACCTCCCACAGAAAAAAAAATTAAATCTTTGTAAAACCATAAGCTTCTTTGTTCCATTTAGAATATAATAGGATAAAATTGTTCGTATTTGTTCGACTCAAATTCTTGAGTATAAAACTAAATTGGATTTACGTAATTCGTCAAATAATACGCGTAATGCCGTAATTTGTACGGTTTTTCATGAAAAAAAAAAAACTAATGCACTAAACGTAACTTTGTGTTTTAGACTACCGAGTATAATCTTGAGTATATCTCTTACTGAATTTATTGTGAACAGTTTATAAAGTAAAAAAAAAATAATTTTAATACAAATCAATAGTAATTTAATCGCTATGCTCCGAATCTAAAACAACATATTAAACTAATACAAATTTATTACTCGGAATCTAATAAAAAAAAAAAAATAAATACATTCCTTGTTACCCTCAGAAATTGTAAATGATTTTTATTTAGAATGTTCTTAATTATTTGAATTTTTCGCACACCGTTATAATTCTATACATTTTAGTTCGTTTGTCAGTGGACGGTTTATTCTAACATTCATTACTTTTAATTACCAAACTGCATACCCATTTTAAAAGTATAATACATTTTTATGATGATAAACGTATTTTTAAATATTATTATATTTAAAAAAAAAAGAAAGTAACATTTTATTGCAGTTTCAAAACTCTCCATAATAACGGCCGGATTCATATTTTATAATATAGAGAAAATTAATAACGTTAGGTGTTACCTAAATTATAACGTTAGTATTGTTATGTTTGCATTTTCGTCAAATTTTATAATCATGACTTTCAAATGTGATAAAACCGATATTCCGCAATGGAATCGATTTCCCATTAAAAATACGCTTACAAATTTATATTATTATTTTTGTCATTAACGTTTGATATTGTTAACCACAGTTAAACATCATATTATACTATGTATCCATTTATATAATGATATCGTTATATTTATCAATACATTAAATATATATCCAGGGCTACAATATAATTTATGCATATATTTTCTTCAAACGCCAGGTCATGAAATCCAGCTGTAAACGCTTCAATCGGATTTGTTTGTTTGATATTTGAATATTAAACACGATATTAAGATCGCCTTAAAATAAAAATAAATAAAAATAAAAAAAAATAAACTAGTTAACATTTCAGTTTGAACATTGTATACTTGTCTCCATGAGCATGTAGTTTATTTATCTATTCGACCTTGTATTTTCGGATAACAAGGTTTATCCAGCGCCGGGAGCCAGGACGTATTGGACCGTATTTTAGGCACACTAGAAAAAAAAAAAAAAACATTATTCAGACGTGATTGGAAGTCAAAAGGCAAAGACGTATACGTGTGTTCGAGGGATAGATGATATCCCAAATAACGGCAATATTAATCAAAAGAGTTTTTTCCACAGGTTTTTATATGCTGTAAAAAAAAAAGTGAGATCCCACGCTCGGACATATTGTATACTCCGTACCGTGAACGGGCCACACGGGTACAAGTAGCTATTTATTCTTTGTTGTATTTTGTTAAAAATAAAAGGGGTGCTAAAAATCCTATTGTATTCGAAAAGTGCTTTTAGATATTACTACTAGTATTCAAGGAATACTGGCTGTTAAATATTTATTGAAATGTTTTTTAAAAATGATTTTTGAGTTTCTGAATTATAACACAACCATGATATACCTATATTATTATGTTCAGCTATCGGTATATAATTATGCAATTTTAACATATTGTGATTTTTCCTACTTATTTTGAACTTTTCGTTTTTTTTTTTTTTTTTTTTTTTTTAAATTTTTAATTATATACCTATGTAAGCAAATACGAATAACGAATTTATGCGTATAGTAACTTTATTTACGGATTCCTATTTTAAATTATAAAAAAAAATCCCTAAGGTATCGGGAATTCTGTTTTTTTTTTTTTCTTGGCAATGGAAAAATAGTATTCTTAGTACCTACACGAGATTACTCAAAAAAGTAAAACTGTTTGCACCTTTTATTAGTTTCGCATTTATATAATATTATTTATAACGATTCAATCCGAGAGGAATTTTTAAGTGTAGTTAAAGAAGATATTTTCGTACGTATACTTAGATTTTTCACAAAATTTAAGGAGTATTGTGTAGCGATACCAACTTTGATTTTTCAAATAAAAACCTGTATCAAATAAATATATTGAATATTAAATAAAATACATTTTAGTGTTGAAATTTTCGATTTCCGTCAACTCGTTCACGAGATATTCCACTTTTAATTTCAGGCAGTGAGAGCGTGTAGAGTAATAACAGTGAAGTATAATTTGTGTAACGGCACAGCGCCAGTTGTTTAGATAGTGCACCGCATTTTTTTTTAAATTGAGCATACATTCAAATTCTGATTTTTGGGATTTTTAAATGTAGTTAAAGCCGATATTTTCGAATACTTAAATTTTTCAAAACATTAAATATGTATCCTGTGGCGATACCGACTTAAGTTTTTCAAATAAGAACCTATATTAAAAATTCCATTAATAGACAGAGTATTACTTTAAATAAATTTTGGTGTCAAAATTTTTGATTTCCGTCAACCCGTTAACGAGATATTCCACTTTTAAGTTTAGGTAGAGGGAGAGTAATGGAGTATCATTTAGGTGGTGGCACGGCGTGCGGCGTTTTATTAGTGCTCCACTACTCTTCCCTTACCAAAACTTAAACGTGGAATATCTCGTTAACGGGTTGACGGAAATCAAACATTTTGACACCAAAATGTATTTAAAGTAATACTCTGTCTATTCATGGAATTTTTAATATATGTTCTCATCTGAAAAACTAAAGTCGGTATCGCCATATACAGACGCCACGCGGACGCTCCTTAAATGTGAAAAATCTAAGTTTTTAAACATATCGGCTTAATATAAACACTTAATAATTCCAAAAATCAGAATTTGAATGTAAGTAAAATTTAACAAAAAAAAAAAAATGTGGTAAGCTTAGTGAATCCCTTTTGTATGTTATTGACAAAGCAATACTTTCCACTGAACTCCACTCAAAATCGTTTTTTCGTTAACAATAGTTTATCGTTGCTTACAGATATACATTAAATTTCCCCTCTTCTAACTTCTGACTTATAGCAGTGGATGCACCCATGTGCGAAGTTACCCGGCATTTTAAAATTTCCGATCGAACGTTGAATATAAATTGTATAATGCCCAGGTAGATATGCTGATCACGATATCGTAAGACACTTATTATCTCGAAAAGTATTACCTTTTCTGAATTCGTTTTTTTATAACATTTAAGAAATAAGTAATTTTAAAATGTTACATTTCGGTAATTTTGTGCCATCCTTATATTTTAAGTGTTAAAATTACCATTCGCAATTGTTTTTCAAATCGTAGCCTATATGGTAATAAAAATTCCATAAATAAATACAGCATTATTTTGTTGATGAAATGTTTGATTTTCGTTCACCGGTGAATACTTTTAACTTGATGTTTTCTGAAAAAAATTAGTGTCTTATGTTATTTTGATCATCCAGTATAATTAATATAACGAATGTGAAATTTAATTCTCCAGGGCCAATAAAATTATGAAAAAATACATATTAATTTTGTATTTACGTTCAATAATTACATACTTTATCAGTTGTTAGTTTATCACTATAGTATTATCTTTTTTTTTAAAATTTGTATAAATGTATCGCAGACTATTTAATTACTTAAAGAAAAACTAGAATATTCATTGAACAAAAATCGTGTATAATAAAACGCTTGATATTATTTTTTCTTCCACGAGTATTTTTATAGTTTTGTTATTATTCCCCCTGGTTTTGAATTTATTTTATGGGACCGATAGCACCGTCTGTATTTTGTAGTTACGTTTTCCCGTTTTGGTTTTTTTTTAGTTTTCGTGGAAGAAACAATGATGTCGCCTTATTAGGATGCAAAGAGAGGAATGTATTGATATATGATGTATATTTTGTGTTGTGTGTGTTTCTTGTTGACAACTGTGCTACGAGAAACATTGATCTAATTAAAACCGTTGGTGCATTGAGGCGATTTTACTTTGATTTTACATGCATTTTTCTTTTAAATTGAAACAATTGGAAATATATTGTTTATTTGTTGTCAATGTCTGGGTTACTTTTGCAACAAGGCAAATAATACGAGTAATAATTAGAGTTTGAAAATTGCATGAAATATGCAATTTTGAAATATTTTAATGAAGTAGGACCAAATAGTGAAATAATTAATGATAAGCCAATACTTCACGTTATGATTAAAAATTCCCATCTTCGTGTATAGATACAGATTAAATTACTCTCTATATGTTCTCTTCTTACTTCACTCAACTTCATTCCTAAGACAGCGGCACACCAATCAGCAGTATCAGCGTCTTATAATATAATATTGATTGTTTAAATTTTAAATCAATCGACAAAATATTTTACTAAAACAATATGACTATTTTTATTAATACGCCTATTAGGTAAGCTAACGTTATACGAGCCCGTTCAAATATTGGAGCATATTTATGAACATTTCAATAAATATAATAAAATAAATATTTATTCGAATTTGCGTAATATTATTTAATATGACGTGCGTATCAGTGGAGCGTCATATTTTGCGTTAGATTTTTATTTTAGATTCCGAGCGGAAGAGGGAAGAACATATTGGTTTTTGGTTTTTAACATTTCGTTTAAAATAATAATAAGATAGACTGTTGAATTATAGGTATTTAATTTATTTAGGAATGCAATATAGAATATTATAACCGACGAGCGTATAAATTAGGTATTTCAGTCTATATTCGCGCGGTTCCATTAAACCGTTTGTTTGGTATTATTACACAATATTATACTGTAACAGTTGTAAATATTTGGAAATATCGGTTGTATAAGAGAGCACGATTAGTTTAGTGTAAGGGAGTAACGAATTCGTTATTAAACAATATTAACTTATTGATTTAAATTAATTTGTTATTAAATTTAAATTTAATTAAATTTTGACTAAAGTTAAATATATAATTTAAAATCATTACTGCGAATAATAATATTTTTAATCAACCTAATCTAAGATATTGAGAAAAAGATATTTTAATAATTTTTGTACACATTGTAAATAATTGTATTTATTTCAGTTGAAATTAAAACTCATTATTAAAATACGGCGTCATAATATTACGAATCTTAAGACATAATATGTAAATAGTATTTATTATACGATTAAAGGTATGTTTATTGTCAGGAAAAGAAAAAAAAAATTCGGACACAGGTTAAGCGGGTAAAACAAAACGCTGTTACGCTATACTTAGTACTTATAGTCGTGTAAGTTAATTTTTTTTTTTATAATTATTTCTTCTATAGTAGTTAAGTTTGTAAATGCTTCATATTACGGAACGTGACTTATTTAAAAGAAAATATTTGTAAATTTTTTATTTATTCGAGATGTGACGAATAGTAAGCACCCGATTAGTTTTTATCACGATAAGTGCCCATAAGTATTGGAACATTACCATAGACATAGAATTTTAGATAGAACATTCAGTATGATAACGCGTGAAAGCAGGTAGAGCTCGAGAATTAAATGAGGGAAACACGGGGTACCCGTTTTAATTTGCTCTCCTCGGAACAAGAGTGATTCTCTGTAACACCTGAATTACTTATCAGTGTATACGTATAAATCCATGTATAAATTACCGTACCGAATACTGTGATTACTATCCCGTTTATGAAAAGATCGTTGAACAACGAAGTTAATATAAATTGATAAAATGCAATCATTTTATTCGTAAAATTATTAGTAGACAAATTTGTGTACTACAGATAATTTATAATAACAACAACAATCGTTATAGTTGATGGAATATATTAAAGTATCTCACGACAGTCTAACTGCAGAGGCAGTTTTGGTGTTATAATCTAACCGAACAATATAATACATAATTCATTATGAATCACAAATTTAAACTTTTGAAAAACGTGTGGATATACAAAAATAGTATTATTATCGTTGAATCTAGGTTGATGAATACGATGTTAAACAGACCGAGTATATTGTATTGAACTAATCAATATAAAATAATTTTTTTTAAGATTTATTGCATTTAAAATAAGCCTATTATATAAATAACTTCCTTATTCTTACTACAATGAATGATGGACGGTTTCGTCTGATTTTCGAATTTTTACTAAATTTTTTATAAAGGAAAATGGGCCGCATATTAAAATAAATTCTCTAAATACTAAGACTCATTAACACTTTTATCACGATTATATTTAGTTCCGTTTAGTGGTTTATCGTATTAGTTTTAATATTTTATGAGTAGCATTTTTTTTTTTGTTGGTTTTATAGATTAATGTATAGTTGCTGTTTTAGATTCTAAGTGGAGCGAAGAAGCTTATAGTTTTACAAAAATGTTTTTTTTTTTATCTGTGTGCAATTTTTCTACCTGAAGAATTGCTCAGATTTCTACGTGTAGCATCTTTTTTAAAAGGAAATTGGCGTAAGGAGGTACTTTAAGGACGTTATTTTTCGATTTTATCAAGAGTTTTCTCATCAAATGTGAAAAACAGAAAAAAAAACGGCAAAATTTACGAAATATAATCGTACACAACTTTTCAACCAGCAATTTTGTTCCAAATTTTAATGATAGCAATGTTTCTAAATGAAACTTTCATTAGGAGGTACATTAGATAGGTAATTTTAGATTTTCTCAGAAGTTTTCTCATCAAATTTGAAAAACCGAAAATATAAAAAATATAGGTATTGATTAAAATTAGTGCTCTTATTATTCGTATACACGTCACACACATGTATAGGTGAAATTAAAAATGCTGAAAACCGTGTTATCCATAATTCACGTAATTCACGTGAATCGCGTATGTATAAAAATTTACGTCGTATACGAAAACCTACACGTGAAAACATAAATACATGTGAATTTAAAAGTAATTAATAATTATAGATTTCACAGGTGAATAGCCAATAATAATAATAATAATTGTTACGCCGTAGTCGAGTCGACGCATAATTACGCGCAGTAATCGTCGACGACTCGCGGTGTGACAAGAAAGTGGATGGTAGAAATGGGTTCTTAAATCGAATAATAATAATAAAAATTTAAAAAAAAACCAATATACACTTTTGCATTGCGCAAAATATGTATATTAAAACAAACGAAATGCCAAATAATTATGAATGAGAAATATGGGTGTCCATCAAGACTTAATAATAAACAATAATTTTCTTTCATTATAATAAATACTGAATACAACCGGAGTATAAATAAATAAATATTAATAATAATACTCGTAATACTCGTGGAGTGAAAAATTATAATAATACAAACAACAAAAAAAAAACGCGTGTTCCAACAATAATAATAATAATAACTAAACATTAAACATAAAACTAAACATTAAAATCATCATAGTTTCAAATATTTCAAAAAAGTAATTTTCCGTTTTGGTATAAACATACCAACATGTCTACATTTTCAAGAACAAGGGAACTTTTTTTTTGTGTCACAATATTTCCTGCCGTTGAGAAGCACCTCTCTGAACTTGTTGATGTAGATGGAATTGCTAAATATTTGTTGACAATAGCTGCTATTGATGGACATTTAGCGGCAAGACATGTGATCGAATCATCTCTCTAGCCTGTATAGGTTTGTGATCCATATCTTTATATCTTGGATAAAAAAATGAGGAAATATATCTTGCAGATACGATTTCTTTCCATGTTAATTCAAAACGAGTAGTTAGTTGATATGAAATTGTAGTCTTAAATCGACCCGTCATACTATCATCTTCGACAGCATGTTCAAAATAGAAAATTGACAAAACTTCAAATAAGTGTACCTGTTATAAATCGCGTGATATTATTTTTCACTAGATTCATGTAAACAATTAACTGGTTTATAAAAAAAACATGTATGATCATTGAACACAGATCACGTGAATATAAAACACGGAATCCACGTGTTTTATAAGTTCACGTAAGTGTCATCACGGAATTCACGTGAAATACCTGAATATGCAACATAAATATCCGTGTACCCGTGACACGGATACACGTGCGCAATAAAACACGTATTTAATTAAGACCTCCATTTAAAATATACTAAGGCCTTCTTTTTTTCTGTGCATAACATTTCTGCCAGCAGTTTTGCTTCAAATTTTAATGATATCAATTTTTCTAAAAGGAAATTTCACTAGAGAAGTACTTAAAAAGGTCGATTTTTGATTTCCTCAAGAGTTTTTCCAGAAAATGTGAGCAACCGTGTTAAACCATGGGAAAACCGGGAAAATTGTAGGAAAACTGGGAAAATTGGTAAAACGTTAAATAAATTTTATTAAAGAAAATATATAAAGCCCATTTAGTTATTTTAATACAAAATGATGTATATATTGTTGACAAAGCATCACTATCAATTGAACTTCGCTCAGAATCGTTTTTTCGTAATCAATGGCTTATCGTTGCTTACAGGTATACATTGAATTATCTATAATAGTGGCTGCACCCGTCTACATTATCTTAGGACGTCTATTTTATTTTTATATAGACGAGGGTAATTTTTATTTTAACCATTAGCAGTCTTTCTTGTTTGGGTAGTATTGATATTTTTTTTTATCGTCCCTTATACAACGTCCAGGTAGGTAGCTGCTATATAATTTAAAGTAAAAATAAAATAAAAGGTGAAATTACCTCCCCTATATTGTTGTCACCCTTTTCACTATATATACGAGGGTTTACCTATCTATATACCTATTGTTTTCATCTTTTTTCTCACTCACGATTTTAAACGTACATACACACAGTAGTATTTATACGTGTATAAATTTCTAAACGATTTTGTTTAAGTGACTGGTGCCAGGTTTTCAAATTTTTTCCCAATTTTAAAAAGAATTTTAAATTCCGAACAAAGCGAGGAATGTATTGGTTTTACAGTGATGTTTATTTTATTCGTTTACTTTTATACTGTATAAAATATTTTACCAGAAATCTTGCTCCACAGTATCAAGTATAACATCTTTTCTGAAAGGGAATTTTCCTGGGATGATACTTTAAAGGGGTCATTTATTGATTTTCCTAGGGGTTTTCATAATAAACAGGAAATAACGTAGAGAAAACTGAACAATTTATGAACATAATACTATTATTATTTTCAATAATATTTTTCTTTTTATTGTAATTCAGTGAAAATTATTCCAGAGACTTGAAATTTTGATGTTTTATGTTTACTTTTTATAGATGTGGTAACATTTTTTAGAACAATGTAGCCATTTTTAAGATATTGGATATTTTAATTTCGCCATTTTATATGTTATGTTTTTTTGGTAGGTACTTTGGTTCCAAGGTAAATTGTTCTACCAAACAAAAATGCTTGACAACTTAACAACAGGTTCATTATATGTTGTAATTTACGGCCAACAATTAAAAGTTGAGTTTTAAATGCAATATTTTTTTTATATAAGGATTTTAATATCAAATTTTGACGAAAAACGTAAATATTACGGCCTTTTAAACATGTTTGACTGAACTCCGCTCACAATCGTTTTTCGTTAGTAAAAACTAATCGTTGAGTACAAATTATACATAAAATTCCCTTCTATATCCTATCTTTCCAACTTCTCACCTATGTCCGTCTTTTTAACATTTCAATTACCACCTTAAAAATATAATTTTTCCAATGATCTAATATCCGATAATTATTTTAGGGATGCGGGAGTTTTTATGATGAAAATAACTTTGCAAGAATGTAATTAACTCATTGTTTACTAAATATTTTTCTACCATTTTATTTTTAACTGATAAACAACAACATTGTACAACTCGCGTTGAAATTCAATTTTTCATTTGATTTAAATAATAGTATAATTATATAGTTTTTGATAAAAATATTGACAACTGAAATTCTATAAAAGCTGTATGATGTTTGCGTCTTTCCGATAAAAAAATAATCACTGAATCGGACCCGATGAGAGTTTGTCCTGTAAAATATGTTTTTGAGCCGAATAAATCGGATGGTCCAGGCCCTTAAGGTGTATAATAACAACCCGATGCTGCGGAAATATTCTGATTTAGGTATTTAGATGATCATTATTACTTACACAATGTATTATTAATATGTTTTTGTTTTAAATAATTAATTCCTTTAAAATTAAATTAATCGAATAAATGAATCGTTGTAACCTAGTGACAGGTACGCATTTTTGGATATTATTGTGCAACATTTTATGTAAACGAATAAAAAATGCTTAGAGGTCATCGGTGTATTGTCGTCGTTTTGGGAGACACGGAATAATACTATACGCTTATTATACCTTTGAACGATAATATTTTATTACTGCATTATATTAAGAAAAGTAAATGTTTCTTAAAATTGCAGCGTATATAATTTTTACTTGAGTAAAACTAAATTATTAAAACTGACTTTGTATATCATTGTTAATTGAATTCAAAACCTTTATAGTTCATAATTTATTAGTTAATTTATAATATATGTATGCATCATATATTTTACAAACTAATTTTTTACCACGGACAACATAATATAATAATATTTTAAAATTTTAATTTTAAAATATAAGACAAATATTAGAGGAAGGGTAAAATGCGAATTTTGAATATAATATTTGGTGTTAAAAACAGTGATCAGGAACAATCCGATAGAAAAATGACCTCTGCGGAGATCTTGTCCGAGTTAGAAAGATTGTGTGATAAGGGATGCAGAAATGGTGACAATAGAATATAATGCAAGGAACTAGCAAAATAGGCTAGTCCAAGAATAAAAATTAATTCTGTATTACATTTTTTAATCAATGTGAAACGTTGTTTTACCCTACAATTAATCGATACTGAAAAGCTAATGGTATTACTTTATTATAATATTTAAGTAATTTCGTTGATAATTATTAAATTCAGCTATGGAGATTTTAAAACATAACAAATACAATAACATAAAATACAAAAATATTAATATAATTTTTTTTTTTTGTATTATTAATTATGACTCACAAGTTTGTTATTAACAATAACGAATTGCAAAATTATACAATTAAAAATAATTTTCAAAATATAATTAACGAGAGAACTTTTATACTAATAGAAGGTTATTTATTTTTAAAGTTAGGTAGATATAATTTATACTTGTGATTTTTTAATTTACCTTCAGTTGTTAGTCGTAAAACAACTCCGTGTTTTCGCAGAAATAAGTAATTTATCAATTTTAAATGAAATCAACTCTGAATATATTTAATCGACTCAAATACAACCTGTAGTATAGGTGCTATTCATTTATGTAAAAACCAGTAGGTTTTCTCAGAAAAAAAAAACGAGCGTTTGGTCAATTCGGTCGCTATTATCTAAGACAAATATTATTACATATTTTTAAAGATTACAATTTCGGAATATTTTTATAAATTATATAAAATATAAATTGAATATTTTGTTTGCATACAGATTGTAAATTAAATTTTTTAAAAAATAAGGAAATCGTGAAATTGTACGTTTTCCTATGTTTTTTCCCACTTAAATCCTTTCATTTAAAAAATGGCGTCGAAAATCATTAAATGACCTCTTTAAAGTACAATTTACACAATTTGAGCTTTCAAAAAAGTTGCTACACTTATACATCGGAGTGAGTTTACTAAGAAAAAACGTGTCTAAAGTATAGTACAAAGAAGAAGAAATAAACAGCATTGTAAAACCAATACCTCCCACGTCACGCTATAATTGTGTCACTTTCGGAGGCCAAATTCACTCAAGCATCTATGAAATTGTATTCTCATAAAATATTGTTCAGAAAAAAAATCAAGTGATAAAAAGCATATGGAACGTTAATTTAAGTTGATTTTTATATTTCTTATATTTACACTACAATAGTAGTCATTTTTGTTCTAGACTGCAGATTTCGATAACTTGCTCCGATAATTATTCTTGTGAAAACGTTTAAAATATTATCATTGAATATATAATATTGTCAATGGTATTAAAATATAGTAAAGGTACCTACTACCTATTATGGGTCACTATATAATATTATGTAAAACTAACCAATAATATTAATTTTTATATTATAATATTTAAAATAAATATATTGCTTTTTTTCCATATGCTTTTTTTTCTACTTGCTTTTGTTCTGTTGATTTTTTTTCAGAACCCTTCCCATTATATGGGGGGACAATTTCATAGATGCTGGAGTGATGCGTGAATTCGGACACCAAGAGTGAAACTGTTTTTATATTTTTTTTTCTTTATCATTAACATTTTACGGGACAATAGCCTTTATAATACAGTAAACAATGATAACGTCAAGAATAACAACAAAAAAAAAAAAAAATAAGAGAAAGAAATAAAAGGGGAAAAAATACATACAATAATATTATAGATTGATGCGTGAATTTGGCACCCAGACGGCCAGGCCTAGCCAATTTTTATAGCTAAAATAAAAATTTTCAAATTCTGAAACCTAGTTATAAAATTTGTTTAAATCAATAATGAAAGGGTGAACTTAATCGAACGATATAGGGAGGCTTTATGAATTTGGTCCCCTCACTTAAAAGCTTCTCGTGGTGAAAATAAAAGTTTTAGAATTCTGAAGGTTGGTTTTCAAATTTTATTCAAATTATTTTCAAAATAATAGTGGAGGTTTGGAAAAAATTGGATAAAGTAGGGGGCCAACTTCACACACGTAATTACTACCTATCAATATTAAAATGTGTTAAAAACTGAATTTTTCCTTGAGTTTTCAAATTAATTTTTATGCAGTGCATTTGCAGGATTTAATAATTTCTTATTTAATTAAATCGAAAATTCGCTACATAACAACGTCATAATTAATAATTAATAACGGATAATTTAAATGTTTAATGTTTATCGGGTTCCGAGTGAAAATAGGAAATTTTATAAGGGACAGATTTTGTAATGAACAGCTAGTCAAGGAAATGCACTAGCCGCTAGTGCATATTCTTTTAAAGCTAATAAGAAATATACCTGCTGAGTGGCCGTTAGTTTAAATGGGATTTTTGGAAAGAACCATAATAGGGCACACATTTTGGGTTAATTTTGTACACTTACTTATGCGCGTGACAAGTTGTATTTTTTTTACCCGTGATTATTTTCTAAAACTATAGCGTGTGGTAAATCATTTTATTGTTTTCAAACAATTTATATCTTACATATTTCATCATTGAATCAAAACGTATCGAGTTACAGTTGTTTAAAATTTAAAAATATTTTTTTTCTTCTTTTTTTTTCTTGTACTTCCGACAGTTATATAATTAGGCACTTGTTGAAATTTAAAAGGTAATTAAATGCGATACCTTGATGTTTCCGGGTCGGTTAAATAATATGATCGATGATGAACGCCGAATGGTTTTTCATTGTCAGTTGTCATATAGAATAAATTATTAGAAAATGATATAAAACGCTCACGCATAGACGTTTATGCGTAGGTTGCCCAGGAAAAACATAATTAAATATTATTTCACGTTAATTGTATAGTTTCTATTGGCGCAACACTAAAAATTAATAACAATTATTAATTGATTGTCAAAATGTAATGTAATAATCGTGAGAGATATTAATAACAATTATAATTAAAGACAACAAAATTTATTTAGAGTTTTAACATTGTTTAAGTCTGTCGGAATATTATTATTATTATTTTTTTTTTAACGCATTTAAAAACGAATGATGATTTTATATATTTTATGAAAAGTACAACTGAAAGAATCATTTTATTTAGGGTATATTAGGTACACTATGTGATTTTTTTTTGAACATAATCTAGCTATTTACTCGGATTTAGGTAAATTTGTTTACTGGTTTTTTTTAAAAAATTATAATTGAATTGTTAAATGTCTATTTCAACGCTATTCTCAAATATTTATTACTACTCCTTATATCTGTATCTATGTACAATTTTGATTTCTAAGTGGCAATACTTTCTTTTCTCTAATATAAATTTAAAAAAAATTTAATATTTAAACTTTTTTATAAACGCATTGCACTTATATCAAATATACCGTTTATGAGTTACATAGGTAGGACTGGGAATGCAATATTCTAAAAAATCCATACACAATTCTTTAATAACCTACAATTTTTAAATATTTTAGTGTAAATTTTTTTAAATATACATGTAAATAAGAAAAAGTCACAGACAGAACTGTTCATTTCGACTTGGACACTTATTATCTGGACAAACTCGTACTGAACGGTTTTGATTTTACTACGCATACGGATTATAATTAAATAAGAAATCTAGTAATTCTAACAAATACCATGTTATTTTTTCCATTGAAATATTACAATTATTTATCTGATAGTTTGTTGGTTATAAAATCATGTTGGAAAAATCTAATAGTACAATTTTAAATTCGGACTTTTTACTTTAAAAACCCCAAAATGATCTAAACAAATTATGATAATATCTTTTAAATCAAATGTTTATAAAAATTGTCAAGAAATGTAAAACAAATATTTCTTATTGTCATTTCAATTGTACGTGAAACAAATTCGCAACAACAAGAGCATCGCATCGCAAGCCTTGGAAAACAATTTTAATGTGAATTGAAATCCCAGCCCCAGTTGAAAGTTTATAAGAGTTGGACATTTCAACCGCAATAGTATGAAAGGGTTGTCATGTAAAAATGTACATTATGTTCCTTACCCTACTTTTTTGTTCAGTCATTTTGTCTAAATTTTAAACTGTCATAATTCATAAACGGTAGTATTAACGTTGTGTATATTAATAATCTAGACAAATATTAACTTGATAAAATATGAGGGTTTCTATTGGGAAGTCAAATGTTGATATGTTGTACTGATAATATGGATATTTTTTAAAAAATATCGCTATACGATCATTAAACGATACAGTTAAAAAAACCCAAATTAATTTTACTAAAAACGTTCGTGAATAATCAAAAAATAAAAACCAATTATCTTGTATACTTCACAAATTGTACGAAATTAAAAATAATGTATCATAACGAGTGGACCATAAGTATAGAAACTGGATATTAATTATAATTCTGTTTCGCGGTAAAAATAATATTGTATAGTTAATAATTGATAGGTGGACAAATGCGCCGGTACATTGATGTACCGATTTATTTACATACTCATCTCGATTTTGTTCTATTGTCTTTATCGGTTTACATTCGGTATTGTTTCGCAATTCGATCTAGTGATGCGACTGTTATTTTTACGTGGACTGATGTTTTTTTTCTGTTTTATAAAAAAAAAAAAAAAATACCTAATTTACACTTTTCGCAACTGCCGGTAACGTTTAAGGTGTTTTAAACTATTGTCAGTAGCGAGTTTTATCGATAAACTAGGTGGAAATTTGCTGATTATTTATCTTTATCTAGATAATTGAATTAATGTGTAATTATGTATCTTTTACCTTCGTCTAGATGATAATTGTATTTATCTTTATTATCTCGATATTGTAACATTTATTTTTGCATGAAACTGTATAATACTATGTATGAGCAATGATTGAAGGCAGATAAATAAATGTAAACTGAATGCCAAATAAACTGAAATTTGGTATACTATCGATTATATTTTTTTCAGTTAAAAAAACTATTTGTTCCTAATATCTGTAAAATATGTAAATGCATTTATTTGAGTAATTTAATTTTTATCTTTCTTATTTTAGAGTCATTTATATATTTGAATATTTTATATTATAACAATAATTAATGTTTACCTTTAACGTATATAAGTATTATTGGATTCTGTCACCTATATTATTACATTGAAAATATAATAATTGAAATTACCTGCAAATGTATAAATTAGTTTCTTTCTATATTCAACACACACCGCTACGGATTCAATTCCACAGAGTACTGAGGAATATACATTTATGAAAATAGAAAATATATATATACATGAAGTGTCCCGAAAAAAAAACTTTATGAAAAATGATTCGCGAAAAAGTTGGGTATACGCCGCGCATAAGCCAGGGACCGTCTTTTTTCTTTTCACTAGGTAGGTATATACTATTTGCTTATCATATGACTCGGTCATGACGTCCTTTTTTTTTTTTTTGTAGCACTTAAACCCTAAAAAAAAAAAAAAAACTGAAACTTAAATACACGTCCTGGGTGTAAATGTTGGCTATTTGTGTGGCGTATCACGTACGTATTAAAATATGTTGCCGGCAGAGCAACTGGACTTAATATTGATGTGGGTGCAGCGAAAAAAGAAATGAAGTTAACAAAGCTCGGTATTTAACGTTAGGGTTTAGCTAGGGCACGGTTAAATAACACAAAGAAAGCTGGAGGGTCAGTAACTAAAAATGTGATATCTTCGTTACATAAGAGTAGAATGTTTTAATAGTAATTTTATACGATTAAAAAATATATATATATAAAATATATTTTATTAAAGATACATTTCGCGGTATTATTATGAACAAAAAAAAAAAAAAACCCCAGTTGAACGCAGACGAATAAAGTAGTAGACAATGTAGACAATTATATTTGATTTAAAACTCATTTTTTTTTTTTATAATAATAATACATCAACCGACACGAAAAATAATAATAATAACGAATGATAACACTATAATATTATTATTCTTATGAATTATGTGAAAAGATACGTAGGTACATTTTTTACTGCACTGTGTGGGTATAGGCCATTATTTCAGGTGGACTACGCGGGGTTATGTTATTGTATTATTATTATTTATATACCTACCCGACAATAATAATAATCGTTGCATTCAAAAC